CGCTGTCACTGCGCACTGCAAACGTTGCATTGAGGAGACGGAAACGTGGGGCCGTGTTTTAGCCACCTCTGCAACTACAGTGCACGAGAAAACCAGCTTCTGCGCCTGGGGCTGGGCTGGGAAGGAGGGGTTGTTTAGATGTGAGGGTTTAGGAGTTACCTAAACCGCTCCCGAGGCCGAGGCGCTGCCGCTCAGGTCACCTTTCTCCTCGCTGGTGCAGGGCTCGCTCAGCCCGAAAGGGCACGCGGGGGCATTCTGAGAATATCCTGGAGCCATCTAGTCTTGCCTACAAGGCGTGGTGGGCTTATTTGTGCGGAGAAGAAACGCATCCCTTAATGGGGTGAGATTTTTCCTCCGTGCATTGTTCCCATTTCCGCAGTTTCACTTGGCCTCGGTTTTCTTCCAGAGTAATGCACCAAACTAAATTAGCTGGAGAGTGTTTGATGGCGCAGAATCATGGTTTGAAGATGTTTACGCTCTATGCCGGACGCGTTTGATGGTGTTCGCTTCGGCACAATTAATTTTGCAAAGTTCAGAAATGTGCCAGATAGAGCCCCTGGCACGCAGTTAGGGCTCTGCAGACACACCTTCAATAGGAAGCCGGCTTGTTTGTTTCATCTGTGATTTATCTGAAGCAGTAGCAGCACCAAGGCCAACGTGTGTTTATAGAGAGACCTTTGGATAAAACTCCAAAGCAATTTATAAATTGGCAAAATGAGGGTTATTTTCTAAAATAACTTTTCCCTGTTGATAATGTAACTCTAAAATGGGCAACAAAACACCTGAAAGTACATTGATTGAAAAGTAGACAAAAATACGTGTTTCACAGCAAGATCTGCTCCCTACTAGTGGCCCAAAGGCCAACTCATCCATGTGCTTATTTTGAACGCTAAAACTAAACGCTTCCTGTTATCCCTAAAACCTTGTTTGGAAAACCTGTTTCTATTTTATCTATTTGAAACCTTTATGTATTTAAGGTGTTTACCCCCATTCTCTTGATGGTTTGGGAAATGTATCACTATTCATATTGGAGAATCCTGTAACTGTCTTTCCCATTAGGCACGTTACCTAAGACCCACAATACTTTAAGGGGCCCACAAAAATATTCTAATTTCTTTTCAAATCAGAAGAAAAAAATAAACATTTAGGTTTAAGAAAGTGTTTTAATATATATTAATGTATTTGTACTAATGAAATCGTAAAATATAATTTTTTAATGGAGGAAGACACTCAACAAAGGCAAAAATGCCTACGGCCCAAGAAAAACACAATGTGGCCCTGTGGCCTGGGGTTGAAAAATGCCTTCCCGTGAAAAAAGTTTCAATTTGAAGCACATGACTTCTATGGCCTTGTTCTGTGTGTGTGTGTGTGTGTGTGTGTGTGTGTGTGTATGTGTATATATATCTATAGATATAGATATATATATATAGAGAGAGAGGGAGATGGAGTCATCATGGCTAGCATACACTAGATACACACCGTGTACCTGGCGTTGTTCATCACCTCTTTCGATCCTCACAACACACCTGTGAAATAGATACTGTTCTCCTACCTAGGAGCTGATGCATATTTTGTGGGGCCTGAAATTTATGCAATTTGGGTGGTCCTCTTAAAGAAAAACAAACAAAAAAGTACAGCATGCCCAGGCTGCTCCAGTATCACCCAACAGGAAGGAAAAAGACAGAAGGAAAGTCCAAGTGGAAAGAGACCTCAGTCTCAGCTGATTGTGGTTACAGTATCTTACTTTTGCGAGTTGTACAAAAACACATGACCCCGTGAATGTATTGCTAGAAAAGATGCCTGGAATCTTAGGCTTTATGTGCTTCACAGAAAATCTGCCTCTGAGGCAGACTCATTTCACAGATAAGAAAGTTGGGAATTTGCCACAGCTTCTGAGAAACACCATATGGCTCTCACCATACCAAGGTTTGAAGAGTTGTGGTATACACACTTTTCCATGAGAAATGACTGATTTTATATTTCCATAGCAAAGCAAGGCTTTAAAGATATGTTAGCAACATTTGGGCTATGACCAGGCTATAACCCAATTTGGCGCACTTAACTGCTATCTATGCTGTGGAGAGTAAATTTTTGTTATCTATTGTATAAAAGTATGAATTAGCTGGTATGGATTCTTAAAGGAATTTCAGCTCAATTTCAAGTGCCACAGATTGACACTATTTTTATTTACCTTGTTATAGACCAGTCTATATTGTAAATACTACTTTGTATAATATTTTCCTTTTGCAATTTCATGAGTGTTGCAAAATAAGTATCAGAACAAGAATTTGTTTTGTTTGATGCTTATGTAATACAAAGAGCCTTATCTCTATAAATGTTTGGCCAATACATAAAATAACAAAATAGAAAAGATCACATAATTAGAAGTGAAAGTATAGGTTATGCAACAAGCTAAAATTGAATGGGAATGAAGTAGCAAAATGTTGAGCTGTCAGTACTTGCTGGATAAGCAGAACTGGCTTCTTAGTTAATTAATTTTTGCTCAAAATTTGTGCTCTTCCCCGGTATTGGCTATGTTCCCTGCTTTTCTGTTTGTTCATTTCTTTTCTTTTTCTTTCTTTCTTGTTTTGAAATGAGATTTCATTTGTAATGCTTACATGTAAAATAATATTCAAGTGAAACAAAAATCATAATCACACTTATAATAAAAGTTCTGGAAAGGAAAGTCTTTGTTTTTTGAAAGGATCACTCAAAAAAAGCAGCAAACTTGAGAGGATGGGGGGCTTTGTTATTAAATTACCTATATTTCGGCCCTTAAAACAGGCTTTTCTTAATGTGTGATCTTGTATAATGTATGTATATACTATATAAACACCATGTATACACTATGTATACATTATATAAACACTATGTATATACTATAGAAACACTATGTATAGTGTTTATCAATCAGTGGGACAAGATATGGCTGTGTTCCTGAAAGAAATTTTGGAACCAAATAAAAATCTACATATTAACTACAGGTATTAACCGGTGAATAATTGAAATGAGTGAAACTAATCTTTGTTTTAAGCCTGACTGATAAATGTAGACTTAAATTGGTTTATTTTAGAGCACAGTTTTGGATAAGATTCAAGACTTTAATTAGATTCCTGTAACAAGAAGACATATAAGAGTGATCAGCTAATTTTCTCTAGATTTTATGTTCTTTATCCAAAGTAGTTTCAAATGCTATTTGAGGGGCATGACAAATGTGATAAATACCATAAAAAATAGTATCTGACTAGGATTCTGTTTGGAATATTCTCTCTCAGATAAAATTTTAGGGTGTTATAGAAAATAATTTGATAAATTATTATATTTCTTGCATGGCCCCAACAGGATTGCATTTTATTTCTTTTTTGTTTATTTATACTGTGCCTTCTTCCAAAAAAGACTTAAGGTGATTTACAATGAAAGGCAAATATTCAAAAAAAAAAAGTTGAAATTCTGGCTGAGACAAACAATAGTATTTGAATATAAAACTTAGCTGCAAGCTTCCTCATAGCAGTGAAATAGGGGAAATGAAGGTTTTCTTAACTCTCATTGTCAAGTGGAAGAAATCATACAGTTTCTTTTAGGAGAAAGTCTTTCCTGGCCCAATCTCTGGGAGGAACTTGTCATAAGGGTCCTTGTATGAGAGGTATTCAAATGTCTAAGTTAAGAGGGACACTACGCAACAACAATTTTTGCTATCTTTTGGTGCTAATATATTTTTCTGGTCAATAATTTTGAAATTGCTATTTTTGAAAGTAAGTATTAATAGTACGACTGCTACAGAGTTTTTTTTTTTTTTTTTAATACTGTCCTTTGAAGTCAGGCCAAGGGTGAATATCAAATCTTGGTTTAACCAGTTTCCTTCTCTACAAAAAGGGATTATTAAAAGTACCTACCTCACAGGGTTGTGGAGGAGACAAAATGAGATAATTTCTATAAAACCCCTATTGCTGTTAAGTGTCAAATTTACTATGGTTTTCCTCAGCCAGAGTGTGTTATGTATATTTTTCCCTCCCCTCTTAGAAATTGTCTTTTTATGTAGACCACCTAGAATCCCTTTTGGAAGAACACACGTGTATATGCCGGACACAAAGCAAGCAATAAATATTCACTGTGAATGTTATCATTATTACGATTTCTACTACCACTCCTAAATCAAAACAAATACATGAGCTCGCTTAGGGGGTCAGGGTGATGGTGCAGTAATTATAGCTTTCAACTGTCCTTAGTAAAGTTTAGAAGATTATGGGGAGTAAATGGGTATCACTGGGATACCAATAAAATAGTCTTTGTTCCCTTTGGGTCTCTCCTGTTGTTTGCCATCATCTCCTGTCTTTGTGACTTCACTTAACTGTTTGATTTGAGGAATACTGAGAAAGGGCACTTTCCCCCACTTTACTAATATTT